AATTAAGATTAAGGTTAAATAAGTTTTAAATTTTTTATTAGTAAAAAATATTTTCTCAACATTTGATGCTTATTATTTTAATTTTATGTTCATCCATTTGCCAAAACTACCTCCTGAAAACTACCTCCTGAAAACTATCTCCTGAAAACTACCTCCTGAAAACTACCTCCTGAAAACTACCTCCTGAAAACTACCTCCTGAAAACTACCTCCTAAAGACTACCTCCTAAAAACTAGCTCCTGAAAACTACCTCCTGAAAACTACCTCCTGAAAACTACCTCCTGAAAACTACCTCCTGAAAACTACCTCCTGAAAACTACCTCCTGAAAATAATTTAAAGTGTTTTCTATATCTATTGATTTGACCTCGTCCCTTTTTTTTTTTACTTAAATTTATTAATTTCTATTTTACAAACCATTAACTTTTTCAAACAAATATATATATATATATATATATATATATATATATATATATATATATATATATATATATATATATATATATATATATATATATATATATATATATATATATATATATATATATATATATATATATATATATATATATATATATATATATATATATATATATATATATATATATATATATATATAAAGAATTTATTTTTTTTTTGTTTCTTTTTTCAATCTAGTCCAGTATAAGTATTTATTTCTCACTAAATGGCAACCACTATCAAGAAACATGTTGTCACCATCTCAGAAACTTATTTTATGCTAGTTTTGGCCTTTAATTTTTAACTTTTTTTTTTCCTAATAATTAATTTTTAGGTCTAATTTTTTGTTTGGGGATCAAAGTTCTATAACTGATGTTTTTATTATAACGTAAATTTTTTTTTAGCATAATTTAAATGCCATTGTACTAAAATATCGGGTCATATGACTGGTAGAATCTGGAGAAAAATAAGAGAAAATGATTTTGTGTGAAACATTTGTGTAAAACTTTTATTAATTTAACAGAAAGTTAGCTGGAACATGGCATAGTCACATTGAAGTTGTTCTTACCTAAATTTGGACTGCTGCTTTCTTCTTTTTCATTAGAAAATAATGATATGAGTTGAGTTTACACCACTTTTTTTTGCGTTGAGGTTTTAACTTCTTTGTTAATTAGAAGCTAACCGTTTAATCATTCTCTCTATTTTCGCTTACACTTGTTATTTTTTTTTTGTCTTTTACTACCGCCAGTATGGGTACAGTATGGGTAAAATGACTTGAAGTCACAATCTGAAGCTGATGTAAGTCTATAGATTGATACAAATGTTGTAGATTGACATAGAGGCTATAAATTAACAAAAAGGCTATAGAATGATGAAGAGGCTATAAATTGACATAGATGCTGAAAATTGACATAGAGGCTTTAGATTGACATAGAGGGTATAGATTGACTTAGAGGCTATAGATTGACATAGACTTAATGAGTAAGCGCTGAATTGTTAAAATTTAAAAAATTTTAAACATACAGCCTTACAAAAATTAACTAAATATATATAGTTAAAAATAATTAAATAATTAAAAGAAAAAACTGTAATTAAACAATGTGTCCATATCCTATATTGTATTTATAAAATTGTATTTATCATTTACAGGTTTATATGTGGCTTAGTAGCCTGTGCTGTAGTAAAATTTACTTTATGCCTCTCACTTGAGTCTAAGTTCTTGCATTCAAATACGAAATCGCTTCTACTTTAATTAAAGCTTCAACAAAGCCATCTTGGCTGATCCGCTCAAATAGGTGCGCATACCCAGCGTTTTTTTTTATTGTAATATTAACTTTGTGTAACCAACAGCTTCAGAATTAAGTAGCTGCAACCCGCGCTTTTAGAAGGCACTTCTAGTTTTTAGTTAAAGATTGGAAGAAATGGATCAGCAAATTTTTTTTTGTAACATAAGAATTGTATTTTGTTTTAAAACCCTCTGCCAACTTTAACCATGCAGCCTTAATTGATCCTTTTAACCCTAATAGATACACAGTAGAATTAATAAAAAAAGTCCTAGGTAGGGAAACTTAATAGCTGTTTTTCTGAACTGAAAACTAAAGTCGTATTTAATAATTTAATTTAAAAAAGTTTTGTTATTATTAAGTTATGTGTCTTAAAATTTACTTTAACTTTTCTGAAAAGAAATATTTTAATCATTCAGGTATGTGCCATAATTTTTTCTTTAAATATTCTGAAAAAGACAAAAAGGTGAATTAGAATTTCTATAGGCCATTTGGTTTCAATAGTTTATAGAAAATTCTACAGAACTTTTTTTTCTGGGTAATATCCAATACTTTTCTTTGAATCATCTTCTGATGGGTCTTCTTGATTTAACTTATCTTCGTTTTTTTGACAGCAAAACCTGGATAAGAAAGATTAACAATAAATGTATTCAATATTACGATATACATTCTACTATTTCATTTAAATTCCATCATACAAAGTTTAATTTTGTTCAAAAATGCAGCAATATCTAAACTGATAGAAAAAAATTTTCTGAAAGAAAATTGCACTGATCTTAGAATAGTTGTACCGAGTATCTTATTATCATTGTACCTAGTATCTTATCATTTGATTGTACCTGGTTTTTTCTTTTTAATTTTTAAAATTATTTTAGTTATAATAATTGGTTTTAAAATTATAATATTTGGTCAGAAATATTTTTTTAACTTCATTTTAAATCTTTATATCTGGTCATGCAGGCCTCTTAAAAAACTGTTTCAAGTCTTGTAATTGACAACCTTTATTAATTTTATGAAGTAACTTTTATTATTAAATTCATAAAGTACTTATAATATTTTTAACTAATGACCTGTTATATAAAGTAAAAATAAAACTCATATATGTATAAGGACGATTCCACGCTCAAGTGAGTTATTTCGGTTTAAAAATAAAATTCAAACAAAAACCAAGTTATCATTGGGTTGTCATATGTATATATATATATATATATATATATATATATATATATTATATATATATATATATATATATATATATATATATATATATATATATATATATATATATATATATATATATATATACATATATATATATATATATATATATATATATATATATATATATATATATATATATATATATATAAATATATATATATATATATATATATATATATATATATATGTATATATATATATATAAATATATTTATAAATAAATATGTATATATACATATATACATATATATATATATATATATATATATATATATATATATATATATATATATATATATATATATATATATTTATATATAAATATATATACGCATACATATATATATATATATATATATATATATATATATATATATATATATATATATATATATATATATATATATATATATATATATATATATATATATATATATATATATATATATATATAGTATATATATATATATATATATATATATATATATATATATATATATATGTATATATATATATATATATATATATATATATATATATATATATATATGTTTATATATACGTTTATATATATATATATATATATATATATATATATATATATATATATATATATATAGTATATATATATACATTGGGTTGTCATATATATATATATATATATATATATATATAATTATATATATATATATATATATATATATATATATATATATATATATATATATATATATGTATATATATATATATATGTATATATATATATATATATATATATATATATATATATATATATATAAATATATATGTATATATATAAATATGTGTATATACATATATATATATATATATATATATATATATATATATATATATATATATATATATATATATATATATATATATATATATATATAATATATATACGCATACATATATATATATAAATATATATATATATATGTATGTATATATATATATATATATATATATATATATATATATATATATATATATATATATATATATGTATTTATATATATGTATATATATATATATATATATATATATATATATATATATATATATATATATATATATATATATATATATATATGTATATATATATATATATATATATATATACATGATATACATTTAAAAGTTTTTCAAATGTATGTCATGTTGGGTCTCAAAAGAAGCGAAACTTTATAAAAAAACTTCAAAAACAATAAAAATTTTACATAATATTTACTATTATAAGTTTTATTGCATAAAAATTATTTTTTAGCAAAAAATGAAAAAAAGCCATTTCTTTATGGTTTTTGGTCGAAATTTTTTTAAGGTATTTTTAACAAAAAATCATAACTATTTTTAAAATTTTTATAAAGTTTCGCTTCTTTTGAGAACCAACATGACATACATTTGAAAAACTTTTTTTTCTATTGTTTAGGGTTTTGTTACAAGTTTCAGAATTAATGTGGCCCCCCTAAATCTCATTCAATTTTGAAAAAATGTAACAGAGTGTCTTGTGAGAACCAGCAGATGGTTTTAAGAATAGGGACAGATCAAATTTTGAAAGTATGAGGCGTTTGATGCACCCTAATATATATATATATATATATAAATATATATATATATATATATATATATATATATATATATATATATATATATAAATATATATATATATATATTTAAATATATATATATATATTTAAATATATATATATATATATATATATATATATATATATATATATATATATATATATATATATATATATATATATATATATATATATATTACAGCTTTATTCAAATAAATTATTGTTATTATCATTATTTTTTTAATATACATTTGCTGTTTATATAATAAGAAATATGATTACAAAGAAATGTTTACATACAAAAAAAAGGAATTTATAAAAAACAGGCAGGGACTCAAAGAAGATACGGATGACTAAAGTTACCACAATCTTTTATAAAGCCCCTAGGTTGAATAGGATTAGGGTCAGGGTTAGGGTTAGGGTCAGGGTTAAATAAATATACATAATATTTCTTTACCTTGACCAAATTACCTTTACCTTTACCAAATATACATAATATATAAGATAAACATGTTATAACTTTAAATACTGATTAAAAGGTATTATCAGCTAACATCCCTAGTGCAACTAATAAATTTAAAAACTGAATAAGGTCTCACTTCTTCAAAGACAGAGGTTTTTGTTTTATGTTTGTTTACAAAAAATTTAACTGGATTAAATTCGGATTTCCTTAATCAAAATTATTGTGTGTAATAACACTCTCTGAAACTTCCTAATCAGGGTTAGGTATATCAAACATCTACACAATAATTAATTTTAAATTATTATTTTTTATTTTTTGTAGTAAGTAAAGAAAATTGGTATCTGTTTTGTTTGCATTTTTCATGTTGAATGTTCTTGATATTTATTCAAAATATTTATCTTGATTTTATTAGTTTGTGATAATATAGAGTTAGAACAAAACAGTTCGTATCTAACAGTACGTTATCCTGTAGAGAATAACTTTGAAGAAAAAGAAAAGCAAAAACAAAATTTAAAGATTAAATAGTAAAGAAATGTCCTCAAATTATTATAAAACTTCCATAACTAAAAAAATTTCAGAAAATATTTTACGTAACTACTTCAACATAAAAAATACCAAAACATTAATAATATATTGGTTAACAGAAATAGCAAATTAGATCCCATTAAACAAGATACGAAAGCTGATGAGTTTAAACTAGGCTTTAAAGTGGTATATGTATTAAAAAAAAAGTTTTCCGGCAAAGCAGCTAGTGTGTCGCTCGCAAGGCAAGAATCTTTGGCAAGCTGAAAACAGATTCCAAGTGTTTTTCCAACAAAAACTACGCCAGAGCTACCAGGCAAGCTGATTTGAAGGCTTCCTTTTTGAATGGCAACTGAAAGTGCATCTATTGCATCTGTTATATTTAAGCCGGTTGTTTTGTTTGTTAATTCAAGTACATTTGTGTCGGCAAGTAAAAACATAACGTTCCATTTGTCATTTCCAAAGTTTGAGTTTGCATTGTACATGTACCAGTCAATTGAATATTTCTTCCAGCTCAATTGATTGAACATTGTTTCAAGGACTTGGAATGCAGTTTCTTGATTAAATATTTCACTGCCAGTGGATCTAATCGGTCGACTTGAAGTTGACATTAAATATAATTCTACGTAAAAAAATCCGAGTTCAAAGTTTAAAATGCTTTTAAATTTATTAAAAATTTGATTAGATATTGGACCTAAACAATTTTTTGTCGTATTAATAAACTGGGTTACAGTTTTCCAAGTACGATAGTTGAAAGCACTTTTTATTGTCGAAATTATTGCAATCCAATCCCTTATAGAAAGTGTGCAAACTGAAATTCCCGGAGTTGGTGAAATATAGCAATGTGAGTGCGAATCCATTGCTGTATTAAAAATTTCATCACAGCTAGCAAAGTTTTTTTGAATCAATGGCACTAATGAAACTTGTAGACATTTTCTTACAGCATTAATCCATTCAAGTGCGTTTGGTGAAAATGTGGATTTTTGAACATTAAAGAGGAAACAATACTTTTCCCCATAAGATATTGCGTATTCGTTTTGTGATGCAGAACACGGAAACTTGATGGCGAGACAGTTGCGGTACCACCAACAGTCAGTTCCATTTGGGCTAAAACATGAAGTTGGTAATGATAAATATAGTATCTGAGTTGATACACTGTTATTGTTGCAAACGCAGTTGTCGTACACAGGTCCTTTATCAAGACCATACAAATCAACCATGCATTGGTAGTAACAGTAAACACTTGTTCTATCTCGACATCTTAATTTCCCTGCTGAAATCTCTTGAATACGAGCATCTGATAAGCATAATGCCCATTGATACTTTGTATAATACGGAGAATACAAGGTGCAATCATATGATCCAAGTGGTCCAGTGTTAGCATCACATATTCCATTAACAAAAATTAGAGATGAAATTGTCGTTATTAAAAAAAAAAGAATCGACATATTTTTTGTTAGTTTAATAACTTTATAGAGTTTTGCATACAATCTGAACTTTTTATTTGTGTTCTACGTAAATTAGAAGAATATCAGGCGTTTAGATACAAGAGTGTCAGGTTTGTATGTGTTTTAAAAAAAATGAAAACCACTTCGAACAATTATGTTAAGCTAAAGATATGTCTAATATTAGCTTTTACTTTTATCATAGTGAAACAGATTAAAGCGTTTAACAAATTTTTTATAAATTTTAATCCTGATGTTAAGCGGCTAAAAACCTTTTCATCAACAAATTTAAAAAAATCCACGGTGGTCATAATTAAAATGTAAAGTCAATAAAAAAAACTAGCAATCAATGTAAAAATATATAATATGCAATATAACAATTTAATATATATATATATATATATATATATATATATATATATATATATATATATATATATATATATATATACATATATATATATACATACCTATATATATATATATATATATATATATATATATATATATATATATATATATATATATATATATATATATTGACATTTTCAAGATGGTTTTTTTTTTATTATACAACTTTTTTGTTATCTTTAGTCCAATCTGCACAGACTACAGCTGGTAAGTTATTATAGCATAACTTTTATTAACCATTATAGAAATATAAATAGGTAAATGTATTTCTTACTTATTTAATTATTGCTTGTCGTGTATGGATTTCCCATTTGTTACAATATTAATTTTTAAATTTTAGTATCTACCTCATGTACTACACCTGGTAAGTTAAACAACTCTTACTTTTTAATGTGTAAACTTTACAATATGTTTAACTTTAGTTCCTTAGTCATGTGTTGCAACTATTAATTAAAAAAAACTTACATTTAATGTGAATACATTTCTCGTTATTTGCCATTGATTTTTTGTTACAACTTTGTAATTTTAGTATCTACCTCTTGTGCTACACCTGGTAAGTTAAACATCTCTTTTTAATGCACACAAGTTTCTCATTGATTGCAGTGTTGATTTTTATAATATATTTTTTACCTTTAGTTCTTTCTATGTGTGCTACGCCTTGTAAGTTTCAAAACCTTTTTTCTTTTAACATGTGTATGCATTTCTTATCAATTGCATATTCTTTTTTGCAATTGCATTTCTTATCAACTGGTTTTTGATTAAAATTTTTTTTGTATAGTTACATCCTCAGCTTTCATGTCAAGTAAGTTTAAAAATTATTAATTTTTAGACTATGAATGCATTTATTACCAGTTGCAGTTTGTATTTTTTATTAAAACAAATTTTACTTTTAGTTCCATCGGCACCACCTTCAAACAGTAAATTTATGAATCTGAAATGACTCTGATTGATTATTGAGTTCCTCTTATTCCTATTTATATAATCTATTTAATACTTTTGTGTTTTATTATCTCTGCAAGTGCTATAAAAGGAGAATCAGAAGCTTATACATGTTTAAATTTTTATTCTGATTAACTTTTATTAAAAATATCATTGATTCATTAATCATTCATTATATTTATTCAGACAAACTGTCTTAGTAAGTATTTATTTTATATTTCATAATTTTTAATTGCATGAATTACAAATATATTCATATTTTATTTGTTTTTAGAGCTTGTATATGAAGCTTATAGGTCATTTCAAACTTAAAATTAAAATCATTTACTAAAAGCCAAGACAGAGAGTAATTACTATGTTTTAAAACATTTTTTTATTTTTTTTAACTAGGTTGATGGGTTAAATATGATCATTTAAATGAGAAAATGTATACTAGTGCAACTTGTAAACTAAACTTGTAAATGGTAAAACAATTCTGTATTGTGCTTTCTCTTTTTTAATAACTGCATGTGAAAATGTTTAAAAAAGTCATTTCTATGTGTTTTCTTTTTTATTTTGGTTGAGGAGAAGTGGGAAAATCATCCCTCTCCTCAAATTGTACATCACTAATGTATGTTCTGTAGTATATTTTTATTTATTTTTTATCAGGCAGAGTCGGGCAGGGGGGAGGGGCAGGGCGGTGCAACATACGCCCTCCCCTAAAGTTAGTGTGTACATTACTTATGTATGTTTTATAGTAAAAAAAAAAAATTTTTATTTTTTAACAAAATATTTAACTACTGTAATAAAGATTAAATTATTTATTAGAATGTATGATTATTGTATTAGGGTGCTATAACATCACAACTACATCTATGGCTAACTCTAAGATCACCTTATTTTGTTTGGCAGTGTTTTGGAATTAAGTTATGGCAATATTTTGTGTATAAAATATAACAATTACATGTAAAAAGTACTTATTTCTGACAAAAACTTGAATTTTCTTAAGGGTTAGATAGTGTTTCATTACCCCCTCTGGCTCCCAAGATACACCCTACATCCAGGCACCAAATTGAACTTGTAGCCCATTTATGCACTTACCTTGTGATACCAAGATATAGGTATTTAGATAAAAATTGACAAAGTTATAACATTTTAAGTGAAAAAAATAATTATTTTGACCACAGTTTCTTCAACAATTCCATATATCTATAATTTGCTACTTAAAATGTGATAACTTTTTTTAGAATTGTTCGTTTTAATTAATTTTTTCACCTTTTTTTAAAGGTATTACTGTATTAAAGGCCTTTCTAATGATGTATAGCATTCTACTATATGATCAATTTAAAAATATCAGTGCGCGTACCTATATATATATATATATATATATATATATATATATATATATATATATATATATATATATATATATATATATATATATATATATATATATATATATATATATATATATATATATATATATATATATATATATATATATATATATATATATATATATATATATATATATATATCCCGTACGAAAATTTCCCATGGGAATTTTAGAAAAAAAAACCATGGAAAAACCATGGGTATTTGGAACACGCTCCCATGAAAAAACCATGAGTTTTCCATGAAAAAACCATGAGTTTTCCATGGAAAAACCATGAGTTTTCCATGGAAAAACCATGAGTTTTCCATGGAAAAACCATGAGTTTTCCATGGAAAAACCATGAGTTTTCCATGGAAAAACCATGAGTTTTCCATGGAAAACACATGAATTTCCCATGCAAAATCTTTAAGTTTTTCATGGAAAAGTGTTCCAAATACCATGGATATTCAATGATTTTCCATCCATGGAAAAACCATGGAATTTCCATAGGTATTAGGAACACCTTTCCAATGAAAACTTATGGATTTTTCATGGTAAAAAAGCATGATTTGTTTTCAAGTTTTTTTATCTAATGTTATTTGAATTGTCATATTAAATCATAAAAGCAAATTTTATCACAATAATATTATTGAGTTCTCTTAATCTATGGGATCGCTTTCTTCAAATAAAATCAATAAACAAAATAAAATTTAAATCTTGTTAAATCCTACAAATCTTTGAAAAATAATAGCTATAATGCACCTAAAACATCAAAACTTGACACACCCACAATATTTAATGCACGCATATGTATAACATACTGAAAATAAATAAAACAAAAAATTACAAGTAATATAATACTATAAGTGATATACATAGTGATAAACAATTGAAATTTATCAAGAAAACAATTTTTACAAAAAATAAAACAATTTACATGTTTATTATTTTATATTAACTATTTGATAAAAATAGTATATATAAATTTGATAATAACTTCAAGTTTTAACAAGTTAAAAAGAACCATCAATACAACATATTTAATTCAAAAAAACATCAAGCCCATTTATAAATGCGTCTGTACTGTATCTGTAGAAACAGGTAGATGTTAAACAAAGTACCATTCACATATTAATATTCATTTTTTTTCACCCTAGTTAGTCTCATTCTCCATTTCACCAATCTAGACAATACATCATACAACTATTATATACATTCTAACTAGTTTTCTTTATTTACTAATTCATTTTACTTATAATTATTATCTATTATAACTTACTTTATAATTAGGCATTATACACAATTATGAATGTTGCCAAATGTTAGGTATATAGAAAAAAGTAGCAATGAATATATCATTATTTATAAATACAAATTATTAGTTTGTTACCTCTTTTTTGCCTAAGCTATCTGCATTATGTACAACATCGTTTATATTTCCAGTCAAACATTCCTGCCTATAATGTAACTTTATTAAAATGATTTATTCAAACTAATACATATATAAATGTTACCTGCATGTTAGAAGCATTTATATAGAACAAGGCAGCAACAAATATTATATTATATATTTACTTTTGTAATTAAAAAAAAAACTTACTTCTTCTTCTGAGCTATCTGCATGATGTACAACATCATTTACAAACCTGTTTTCTTCACGTCCTTCCATTTTTTTAATATATTATAAAGCACAGGACTTGTTAATGAACGGCTAAATAAATAAATTAAAAATTTATATTTAAATGAAATGATAAGGTTAAAATGAAAAGATTTATACACATATATAAATTTTACCTGCATGTTAGTAACATTTATATAGAATAAGGCAGCAACAAATATAGTATAACTTATAAATTGTAATTTTAAGTAAAAACTTACTTCTTTGTCTGAGCTGTCTGCATGATGTACAATATTATTTATATTGTCAGTCAAACTTACCTGCTTATAATGCAGTAATTTAAATAAAATGATAAAGTTAAAATAAAAGAACTTACGCACATACCATTAAATTCAAAAATTTATTATATTTTTACTTCACTATTTAAAACATAACTAATATGTAATTTATAAAGTATAGTAATGTAAAAGCATAGTAAATATCAAAGTGTGTGCATAAATTAATTTATTTTAACAAAAGACGAGCACTTTACATCAGTTAAATATAAACAAATAAAAATAATTGTATTATAATAAATAATAGTGTATTATTTATAAACATTGCTTTTATATGCTTATATTTAACTATGAAGTAAAATCTTGTGCATTAAGTAAATTTCCTTACTGATACTTATAAAATATTACCACAGTTTTCCTTCTCCAACTAAGTGGTTCTTGGAACATCCTTACAAGTTGAATCCCAAAGATTACGTTTATATCTTTTCTGGTTTAAACTCAATTCACCATTTTATTTTGACAGCTTTTGAACTATTTTTAAAAATATTAAATGCATATAAAAACTGACGATGTTATAAACAATATAAACGATGAACAACATTATTTATATTGCCAGTCAAACCTGTTGGCTTATAATGTAGTAATTTAAATGAAATAATAAAGTAAATATAAAAGAATTTATAAACATTATTTATATTACATTATTTACATATTCTAATAATTCTAAAGAAAAAACTACAACAAAAAGACAAAAACAACTTAACAGAACTAAAATTGAATAGAACATTTATCATAAAAAAATGTTTTTTAATACTTAATGAACATTTACGATACAATAAACTTCAAGCATTTTTATGTAATCTAAGGCTATTATAAAAAAAAAATAAAAAAGATCATACTAGTTATCTTTTGTACATTAGTTATCTAATCTTATTATCTTAGTTATCTAATCTTATCTAATATACTGCTTGTATATTAATATTTTAAATAAGTTTCTTTAATACGTTCGATAAATTTTATAATAATAATTATACTAGTTTGAATGTACATTAAATTACACTATGTACATTAATACACTAGTTATTTAATGTAGATTAAAACTAAACATTTATTTGTTGTAAACCAAATAATAATTATTTGGCAAATAATTTGCCAAGTAGGCATTAAAATTCAAACTGGTTTACTTGACATACTTGCTATACTATTGCAAGTTATGCAAAGTAAGCAAAGCTACTGGAAACAGTTAAAATAAGTATATGCATAAATGATATATAATAAAATATAATTAAAAATAATCCCTTTTATAATGCATTATAATATGATAAATATATCTAGTTGTTTATGTCTGTATGTTTAGTTAAATCATATAAATGTATTGCATTATAAAAAACATATAATTCATAGCCTTATTAAACACAGAAAAACAGAAGAATGCAGTAAGTATTGTTTTCTAATTTAAAAATAATCATAACTCTACGAGCTATGACGCCATCTTTAAAAGCGCATTTGTAACAATCATGGCGCAGCTTAAGCTATGAAAAAAAAAACATGGTTCACCCATGGAAATTCCATAGGATTTCAATTTTCATGAAATTTACCCATGGAAATTCCATGGAATTCCCGTTTTTCATGGGAAAACCATGGTTTACTCATGGAATTCCATGGGTTTTCCATGGAATATTTCCGTAAGGGATATATATATATATATATATATATATATATATATATATATATATATATATATATATATATATATATATATATGTATATATATATATATATATATATATATTTTAATTAAAATTCTTTATTTAGTCGATGAAATTGCAGTTCTTGAAATTTTTTTTATATATTATAAAAAATAAGAAAGTGTTTGTCAAAGTTAGATATATCTGACCTTATAAAAAAAACTTTTATTTTTTACGTAAAAAATGAATGTTTTTATTACCAACCATGTTTTTTTTTTTAAATAATCATTTTTTGCATATATTTGCATAAAAGTTATGCTGATATGACATCAGCATAACATTTACAAACCAAAGTATAATAACCAAACATTTATACAAACATTTATACAAACCAAAATATAATAACATTTAGTTGTAATAACAAAATATATCTTGTAAACGTTTAGTTTTACTTTTATAGTACCATCATGGATAACGAAAAAAATATTTAATTAATGGCAATTATTGCAAGACGACATTCGCCAAAACTCTGTATCCACAGCAATCGGGCCAGTGCTGGCCCGAAATCAAATGCCGTCGTAGTGGCTTACGACTATTCGCCAGAGTTCTGGCATTTCGTCGCACGCCGCTGCGACTTCTTGCAATGATTTGCCGTACATAAAAAGTTGTTTGAATCGCTTGCTAGACTCGCGCCAGTAATGGCCCGTTACTAATATAGTCGCAACGGCGTGCGATGATTTGCCAGAGTACTGGCCCGGAGTCGTGTGCTGTCTTGGTATCTTTAATAAAGTAAATAGACTATAAAACTTATATTTTGCTGATGAAAAAGCATATAAAATTTATATTATTGTATAGAGCTTGAATTGACTTAAAATACGAAGAGTCATTCAGCTTTTGAAGTTGAGCGGATCCAAAGTTATTGAATTTTTTGTTGTGAAAAAATGGATGATTTATTGATGAAAGGTATAGGGCTTAAATATGGAAAATTTGCAGTGTTATGGCACCAAAAA